ATAAGTGAAGGAGGTTACTTCCTTCAAGTTTCTCCCGTTGACGGTGATTGGAGTTTGTTGTTGTTGTTGTTGATGGTGGTGGTGCGGTATCTTCATCACTTCTGTCTTCTCTATATTCACCTGAAGTCCCGTCTTCGCTGCCTCTTCTATCAACTTGTTAGTTTTTGCCTGCAGATCTTCAAGTTTATGTGACATTAGGCATAAGTCATCGGCGAAATCCAAGTCTTCTAGGTTCTTTTCCGTCGTCCAGTGTATCCCCCTCTTCTCGCTGCCTACTGTTTGCTGCATGATCCAGTCCACCACAATCAAGAATATCATGGGGGATAGTAGGCAACCTTGTTTCACTCCTGTCTTCACTTCAAAGGCATCACTGAGCTTCCCATTGTGGATTACTTGGCATGTAGCATCTTCATATAGTTGTTGAATGAGGCGGATAAAGGTTTGCGGTACTCCGTAGTATTGAAGCAGTTTCCAAATTACTTCTCGGTCGACGCTGTCAAAGGCCTTCTCAAAGTCGATGAAGTTGAGGTGGAGAGGTGATTGCCATTCTATGCTCTGTTCTATGATGATACGAAGCGTTGCAATTTGGTCTGCACATGATTTGTACTTCCTGAAGCCTGCCTGTTCCGGTCGTAGTTTTGAATCCAGTGCATCCCTTAGCCTCTCCAGGATGATGCGGCTTAATATTTTACTTGGGGTGGACAGGAGAGTGATTCCGCGCCAGTTCTTGCAAGCACTGAGGTCTCCCTTCTTCGGCAGTTTGACAAGGTAACCCTTCTTCCAATCGTCAGGTACCTTCTCTTCCTTCCACACCTTCTGCAATAGTGGTGTGAGCATGGCCGCTGTTGTCTCTGCATCTGTTTTCAGTGCTTCTGGCGGTATTCCATCTGGTCCTGCTGCTTTCCCGCATTTCAGTAGCTTTATGGCGTTCAGGACTTCCATTTTCGTTGGGGGATTAATGTTCACTTGTAGTTCAGCGGCTGCAGGTGGTATTTCTGGACGAAGTGCAGGTGGTGGTCGATTCAAGAGCTTCTTGAAGTGGTCGGCCCATCGTTTCCTCTGTTTCTCTTCTTTTGTAATTAAATTTCCTTCTTCATCTTTTATTGGTTTCATCTGTGTTGGTCTCTTCCCTGATAGCAACCTGGTTATTTGATACAATGTCGTCAGGTCTCTCTTACCTGCAGCCTGTTCTGCTTCACTTGCCAGTGTTTCGTAGAAGTGTCTTTTGTCTTTGCGTGCACTCTTCTTCACTTCTTTGTCCAGTGTTTTATACATTGTGCTCAGTTCCTCTTGTCGTTGAGCATCCTTGCACTGGTTTATCTTCTGCTTCACCATCCTCCTCTCCTCTATCAGCTTCCAGGTATCCGTCGAGATCCATTCCTTGTCTTCTTTCTTCTTCCTTCCTAATACTGTTGTGCAGGTTTCTTTCCACATAGCTTTCAAAGACTTCCAGTGTTCTTCCACACAGGTTTCTTCAGGGATGTTGCTCGATGTCTCCCATTTTGTCTTGATGGCTGCCTTGAAGATCTCCTTTGTAGTTTCATCCTTCAGTTTCCGAGTGTTGTACTTGAATTGAGGTCTATCACCAGCTTCCTTGAAGGCTTTTAACTTGATTTGGAAGGTTCCTTGCACTAGATAGTGGTCTGAACCTACATCTGCTCCTCTTCTTGACCTTGTGTTAAGTAGACTGCGTCTCCATTTTCTTGAGATTGAGATAAAGTCGATTTGATTTTTAGTGTGTCCATCTGGTGAAATCCATGTCGCTTTGTGGATATCTTTGTGCCTGAACACACTGCCTCCAATCACCAAATCGTTGAATGCGCAGAATTCTGCAAACAATTCTCCATTCTCATTCATTTCACCTAGTGCCTCTCGACCCATGGTTAGTTCTCTTCCCGTGTTGTCCCCTCCCAGTTTGGCATTCATGTCGCCCATCAGAATTTTGATATCGCCAACTGACGTCTTGTCCAGTGTTGATTGAAGTTGTCTGTAGAAATCCTCCTTTTTCTCTTGCTCTGCATTATTTGTAGGTGCATAACATTGTATGATTGTGACCTTTCTTCCTTTTGAGTTGAATCTTGCTGTCATGATCCTGGAGGAGATTGGTTCCCACTGCATGAGAGCCTTCGATGCTCTTGAGGACATCATGATAGCCACTCCCTCAGTGTGCTCGTGGTTGGCGTCTGGGTGACCGGAGTAGATTATTGATTCTCCAGTTGACAGTTTGGAGAGTCCACTCCCATTCCATCTGCTTTCGCAAATCCCAAGCACTTCGATGTTATACCTTCTCATCTCTCTTGCAATCTGGGCTGCCTTACTGGGTTCAAACATCGTGCGGACATTCCATGTCCCCACGTTTACTTTCGCTTTCATCGAGGGAGAGAAGACACATCGGCCAATTGGCTTCCCGAAGGCTTTCACCAACTGGCGTCATTTCGCCTCTCCGATTCCAGCGGGGAATAAGTTTGTTTTCATTTTTTATATTTTGTTTGTGCTTTGAAGTTTCTTTAGCGGTTAGATTTGTTTTACAGGGTAGGGTTGCTAGCCCTATGCCCAACCTTCCCTCTTTATGGGGGCTTAGGACCGGCTAGTAACTAGTAAACTAGTTAACCAGGCGAGGTTATGAAAATGTCATGAAGTAACAAAATATGCCACCGAAAAGAAGAGTGTGGAGAAAATAATTAGGCTGATCTTCAAATTTCTCGAATCACATTACTGACTAGCATTACACCAAGTAAGCATGAAAGCCAACAGGGGTTGGAGCACTCTAAGCTGACTAGCATGAGCTTGATATAGCGTCGATGTTTTCTAACAACTTAATATTTCTCAATTAAGTAGAAATGATTGCAGCATAAGTACTTTCTTCATAATGTCACAGAAAAGTAGGAACTGAAGCATAATTTTGTAGAAGTACAATACAGGTAGATTTATATCAATCTCACCAATCTGTTCGGTTTTTGAGCACTCTTATTTCGCTGAAATATGTGTCATATAAGCGTGTAACCTGTTAGACTATAATATTTTGAAAATTGTCTTTATGATGAACTGATATCATTCACCAGAATATTTTGAACAAGAGTCTACTGAAAGACTATTTTATCTCTGTGTTAGACTTTTTGGCAGGACAAGTAAACCTTTAGACACCTACAAATCTCACTCTGCGAATAGCATCATGGAAGGAGAAACAAGATGAACAGCTACAATTTAGAAAACTTGAAAGTTGTGCTGAGTTGTTAAATGAATAAAGTCAAAAAACACAAACCTCTGCATTCCAATTTGATTTATTAATGATGGCATGCTCAATTTACAACTTTAAATTTCAGGGTTCCACTTACTCTTGGGTTTGGTGCGTGTATCGCCAAAAAGTTTCAGATCAGAAGAGGTATCTCTTCAGTACTTCCTGATCTTCAAAGGTTCTCTCAATTTCAGATGAAAAGTAACCTGAACAACGTATTTATCTGTACATTTAAAAGTTTCAAGGTTTATACTCATTGGGACAGACTGAGAGAGCTTGATATTGTAATTCTTTGTCTGGAAGATGAGTATAAACGGAATAGTGATATGTGCGCCAACAAACAGTGAGCAAAGCAGTTCTATGTTCAGTCTGCTGATTCAAACAGAGGTTATCTTGGACATCTTGATGTTTAGAAGGAGTTATTTAAAACCCACGAAAATAATTATTATCTTACGAGGTCAAATAAAGGTAAATCAGCTCAGAAGTTTTCGGTGGTTGCCATTGTGATCATGAACAAAGAACTAAACTAAACGCAAAACTATTGTCCTAAATACCTTGCATTCAGATTGACTTCTCTTCACTTCTGCAAAGAATGCTTTTGAAGTATCTGGGATGGTATTTACTGAACTTGAATTTCAATGGAAATATAAACATATTAATCTAGGTGACACGATTTCGAATCTTAGGCGGGACATGAGTTCCGTCGAGGTTGCAGATACGCTTTGCTGACGAGTGCCAACAAGCACGAAGCTTAGGTCCAGGGCTTCCTGCCGATTGCCTCCAACCAACACATATTACATTGTTTATTTGATTACTGTGTGCTATGTCAGACGAAAACAATCTAATATGCTATCAAACCCTACCGTAATACCCAAATCTTCCTCTTACAAGAGAACAGACACTCTAAGGTGATGGATACATGTAAGTAATGACTCAAAAAATGAGATGAAAGTGGTGTGCTAAAGTGAAAGTAACCACTAGTTGGTTGGAGACAATTAGCAGGAAGCCCTTGACCTAGGTTTCTTGCTTTCTGGCACTCGTCAGCAAGGCGTATCTGCAACCTCGACTCAACTGATGTCCCGCCTGAGATTCGAACCAGCGTCACCTAGTGTTGCGGTCAGCGACTTTACCACTGAGCGATTGACCTCCTGTAGGGCTGGCTTACATGTATTGATTGGTCACAGGAGTGCAACCAATTTCATGTTGTCTAGTCCTGAGTGGAGACCGAATCCCATCGAACATACTTGCAATGTGGCAACCAGGCTAGGAAGCTCAGCATCGCAGTACACATTAGTAGATGTTTGTGGGTGAAATCGCTAACTGCAACACTGAGAGACGCGGGTTCGAATCTCAGGTGGGATATTAATTCTGTCGAGGTTGCAGATACGCCTTGCTGACGAGTGCCAAAAGCTTCCTGTCGATCGCCTCCAACCAACTAACATCTACTAATATGCACCACGATGCTAAGCTTCCTAGCTTGGCTGCCACATTGCAAGTATGATCGATAGGATTCGGTCTGCACTCAGGACTAGACAACATGAAATTGGTTGCACTCCCGTGACCAATCAATACGTGAAAGTAACCGCATTAGAATGAAAGTCTAAGGAGAAGACCCGGTAAACTGAGCGATATGATATACAATGACTAACTTTTGCATAAATTCGATCAAATATTTAAAGCTATGAGTATTTTATGTGCAAACGTTTGGCGTCAACGGCTGTGGGTTGGAAAGTCAATAATTTTCAAGGTCATTGCTGAATAAAATGAAAACTTCCGAAATACTTATTTTAGTAGGAACATACAAACATGAGATAAATTCTGACAGTGATAGTGCATGTGTTTTTCATGCATCCAGTTTACGCGGTATGCATATGTCAGATGAATATGTCCGTAGTGTTATAAGAGAAAGCCAATAAACAGGATACCTCCCTAGTTAGCCAATCATCGATATGAATTCATAATGCAATTTTCCAGACAGATGATATATAAATCTCAATCATTCTAACCATCACAAAAACAAAAGAATAGATCACGCAAAGTTGCAGAGGAATTTAGATTTCCTCATTTGAAAACTAATACACAACATCACATCCAGTTGTTTCCCATCGTTATTATGAAATCTGAAGTAAATATCCTGCTCGTGATTCTGTTAGTTATAGTCAGTACAGATTACGGTAAGTTGATTAAAGACATGTGTAATTGAATTATTTGTTGACTAACGTATTGATCGTCTATTCAAATGTTAGCGAAGTGATAGAAAAAATGTGTGTAAAGCATTTTGCTTTATTACACGTGAATTTTCTGTTGTACTATGATATTCAACCCCATCTAATGAATGAGACTGTAAAGGGAATCATAGTCTGTTTCAGCTACCATTGTTATCATTAAAGATTGTCACACTGAATAGAATTTAAAAGTCTATCGATAATTCTCAATGAATTGTGTAAACAAGTTAGTCATTTTACAGTGATCTATCCTTTGCCAAAGTAAATGTTATCACTTATTAAGCGAAAAACGGAGTAATGCCTATTGTTACCACCTTTAAATATATTTCCTCGATATTCATGCTGCTTGTTTACCAAAGTGTTGTTGTTTTGACTGAATGCCTTTGCCTAGTGACCTATCTATCAAATTTTGTGTGTTTATTTCTTACTAGATCAGTCTATCTGAAATAGCTGGATAAAACAGACTAATATAATATGAAAATAAATTCTACCACAGTGAATAAATTCCATATTTGCATGAATCGACCTATTTAAAGTTTCAAGTACTACCTACATACCTAAAAAGTGTATCCACTTATGTTAAGAAATAGTTTTAAACTGAAGTTTGAAAAGAGACTGTAATGTAACTGGATCATAAAAGAATGAATGAATTCACTTACACTGCCAAATCCTTTTATGAGTTTGGACTGATCGAAACAAATTATCCCAGTTTATGCAGTCGTAGATGGTAAGATTGAAGGAGTTGGGGAAGGCACTGGCATTAAGCTAGAGTCAGTAGTTGTTTAGGCCTGATGAATAGACTGAGTTGGGATGAGTGAGTGTCGATGAAACTTACAGAGAGAAAAGGATCTAGGATAACTATTTAGAAACAGTAGTTTGAGTATTGTGCAAACCTTGTTGTCAAACAGGTTAACTAGCCCACAGATACGCCTCAGGTGCTTAGTATCCTACCAAAACCAAAAGGTTATGTCGGTTCTTGAAATCTTAGCAATGCTTGACGACGCAATGTCTCTAGTTTGGTTAACTTAAGTACTAGTTGGCGTTGATGAGTCGAAAAATCGCCTTTCGTAATGATCTCAGGGGCTGATCAATCCAGTTTTCCAGAAACAACTAACATCTTAAATGTACATCATAGTATTTGAGACACCTATTCATTTAGACAGTGTAGATGTCTCACAGTAGACATAGTAATACATTCATGACCTTCCTCATATGGATATCAACAATCAGTTATTACATTAAAATATGGCACTGAATCAATATCAAATGATCATATTATCGTCTTTGAAATGTTTGTAATAGTTGCTTAGCCATTCCCATTCTTTTTCGTATGTCCGGTGTTGATTTATTCGACATAATTTTCTAGACAAGCTCTCCACCTCCAACTGGGTTAGTTTTTCTGACTGTCAATCCTCTTTGTCTTATTTTATGATTGCGTGCAATAGAAATACGGTTCCAGTTAATTTCTATCTCAAGACTCTGTTATTTACTACAGTCAATGGTATTAGTTTCGTCTTACATAGAAAAAGACCCTCATAATCAGTTATCAAATAAAAAGTAGTCACTTAATCAGGAGTGGCTGAATGACATTCCCAATCCTTGTTGATTGAATCGACCACAAGTTTACATGCAATGCGGGTGTTCCAAGTGCCCAAAAACTTCTTAGTTTGCCATTACAATGGGACTGGACTTAGGTGAACAACGGAAACCATATTTTTGAATAGTAGATCCATCCTGATGTTATTATGAGAAATCAGTTGCAACCGAGGCGTTATCGACGAAGTGATATTATTTGACTCCACTCTGTTGAATATCTACTAACCAAACAGACAAACTAATTAACAAGAAATTATGCACCAGCGAAGTGTTTAGGTTTTGCTAATCTACTCATTCACACATATATTGATGTCATTGTACTTTGGCACAATGAATGATGTGTAGAACTGAATGCAGACTCAAATATGAAAACTATGATCTTCTGAGATATCATACACTGATTTGTGTACAAACTAATACTTAAATTCGGTAATGACATTCTTACGTTCAGAGTAATACAACTATTTTGTTTCGTCGGTGAGTGCAGTTTGGATTAGTGATCAATCTCAAGTCAATTTTCACTAGTCGGTCTTCATAAAGAAAACACTCTATAAGTTCTCAGCACAAATATGACTGATTAAGCCATTAGTCAGCATCCCTACATCTGTCCTGCAGATTATCGGGCATCAGCTGAATGGATTAGAGGAAAGTGCATTGAGTTCAAACCTAAGCATGAAAAGAAGTCCGAGGGAATAGCAGAGAACTGTTACTCAAAAATTAACATAGGTTGGGAGGAAAATAGTTAACCTTGCAAGGAAGTTACATTTGTGAACATGTTCGTTTCTGGCATCGCTATGCACACCGTTCTTGGCATTAACATTTCTGCTCAATATTGTCTTTCGTCCTCCCAAACCTGTACCACTCGATTGCCTTCAATCACGTTTTTCATAATGTTGCACTATATACTACCGATGTTTATTAGTAAGTCTAACCGCAAAGGCCTACGTGTCTATAAGTGCATTATATTTCTGAAGAACTGAAATGAACCCTACTTATGACTGCTAATAAACTTGAAAAGAAGCCTACCGCTTTCCTTTGATTCACTCTTTGTGTAGAGCAATCCATATTCTTATAGTTACTGCGTCAGCTACAGAGGGAGGGAAAACCCTCAAATGCCGAAAGACTGTTTCTTGTTACAAATCGTTAGCAATTCAGATCTAATACACCGTACTCTATCAAGCAAGTCCAGGAACATCACGAATAAAGATGTACATGTTACCATTTAACCGCTGCACTGTCGATCAAAACTTCAAATTCTCATTACTTATGCTCCTCTCTAGTACTTGCATGTTTTTGTATTTGAATCACCTAGATAATTAGTTGGTATTCAGAGATGATTCAATTGCATATGTTCTGATTTTTTTTATTTCAGCTCTCTCTGCTAGTTGTTACACATGCAACCCTTGTCCAATACCATTCGACGCTTCATCCCATCTGGTTAGAAATGAAAGTGGATGTGTATGGTGTGCAGTAAGTATAAAGTGTGCACAAAAGTTTACAGAGTTTTTGTTAATTACCTGCAGCTTGTCACGTCTAATCAAGTAGGCTAAATTCACCCACTTCCACTGGATGGAATGAAATATACTGTTATATACCTAGTTATTGGGTTTAATTGAGACGCACAATGTGTCGGTTCAAAACGTATCAATGAACCAGTATTTACCATGAATATCGAGACGAATCTCATGGATTTGAAACCCTGAAAAAACGACGAAATAATGAACTCATCAGAATATCTGTTGAAGACCAGGATTATCAAGCTTGAATTTCAGTGTTGAAGCGCTCTTATCGACAGTCTAGAAGCATTCAACATGATATACAATGCACCGAGATGTCAGCCTACTTGCCTCTGTTGACCGAATCCAGAATTCAGCAGATGAGCATGTGTCGCCATCGAGAATAGGTAGCTTGAAATGAAATATTATTAGAAGCATGTTAATGTATAGAATTAATAACACTTTGTTAACACGGACTCAAATTTCAGTGTTATCAAATTAATGATAATCTGTTACCGCATGAAATTTGTTGTGGAAGGTAGGTAATCATAAAATGGCCTACGTGGGATAATCGCATTTCGCAGGATGAGGAATTACTTATTCCAAGCTGATCATTAATTGTGTGGTGTGTGTGTGTAGTAACTAGGTATTTGTAAAGTATCTCGGCCATCTGAAGCGATGAAGTCTCACAGTATCATCGACTGCCTTTCCTTTTCTCCCTAACACTCGAAGTCTGAATTCTGCGGTATTGACGCAGTCGCGCCATTATACACATCGTGTACCATAATGACAATATTGTTTGAACACTTGAAGCTTCTTCATGTCCTCTACCTTTACTGGCTATCGTTTGCATTCACAGACAAGTCACCAGTGAAGAACAGTGGTGGAGAAACGATTTGCATTCAAGTGATGAGAAATGCATCGCAAAGATTTTCTTATTACCACCCAAGATATCCAGAAGACTCTGCATTTCGTCTGCGCTTCCATGTGACAAGACTGTACCATCAACGTATTCTGCGTCAGCTGCAAACTGATTTCAGTCATCCTGGATCATGCACTATGCGTGTGAGAGTTGGGATAAAAGGCTGCTCGTCTCAACCTGTATTAGTTTCATTCGTCTATCTAAAAAGCTACTTGAAACTAACCATTTAATAAGCTCAGATTACCTGTTTGTCATCGTTTTACTTACTTCATATAGTTGATACTATGCGTCATGTTATTATTTACTATATGACGTTGTGCTGAATTAGATCCTGTTGAGAAATCAAGTTTCGTTTCAGGAGGTCATTTTTTCGTAGACATATCATTTCCGTAACAGGTGCATACGTAATTATTTATTCTTCTTGATCTTGCTGTTAGAAAATTTCAGTTGGTGAATCAACAATTCCGATCAGAGAATGTCAGTCTGCTTGTGGATTTGAAGTCTGGAGGAAACGATATAATCAATTCTCTTATTCGTGTTGCACTCGCGACTATTGCAACACGAGTTTACGCAGCTGCTCAGCGCACCAGATACTACTGGTGGTTATCTCGATAGTCGTTTCTTCCTATATTTATAAGAAACAATGAAATAATCACAATAAGACAATGTTGGTACACCCGACGCTCTTTTTATATGAGTAATAACAAATATTAACTCATCCTTCTTTATCACGCACTTCTATTCTCATATTTGTTGTGATAATTCCAAACACATTTAGTCTGCATGTAACTGTGGTCAAGCATTTTGTAGAGGGATAAAGGCTTGGTGCATAAAGTACATTGCATAGAATTCCATTCAGTTCAGCTTTCGTATTAACATAAAAATAATAATTTGGAGAAATACAGAGTGTCTTACCTTCTTTTTTCGCCTCTGAGGGTAAGCCCATGATTTCCTAACCATTACACAGGGGACTTCACTACGGTAAAGCATATATTGTAGGAGAGGGTAGTAGTAGTAGTAGTAGTAGTAGTAGTAGTAGTAGTAGTAGTAGTAGTAGTAGTAGTAGTAGTAGTAGTAGTAGTAGTAGTAGTAGTAGTAGTAGTAGTAGTAGTAGTAGTAGTAGTAGTAGTAGTAGTAGTAGTAGTAGTAGTAGTAGTAGTAGTAGTAGTAGTAGTAGTAGTAGTAGTAGTAGTAGTAGTAGTAGTAGTAGTAGTAGTAGTAGTAGTAGTAGTAGTAGTAGTAGTAGTAGTAGTAGTAGTAGTAGTAGTAGTAGTAGTAGTAGTAGTAGTAGTAGTAGTAGTAGTAGTAGTAGTAGTAGTAGTAGTAGTAGTAGTAGTAGTAGTAGTAGTAGTAGTAGTAGTAGTAGTAGTAGTAGTAGTAGTAGTAGTAGTAGTAGTAGTAGTAGTAGTAGTAGTAGTAGTAGTAGTAGTAGTAGTAGTAGTAGTAGTAGTAGTAGTAGTAGTAGTAGTAGTAGTAGTAGTAGTAGTAGTAGTAGTAGTAGTAGTAGTAGTAGTAGTAGTAGTAGTAGTAGTAGTAGTAGTAGTAGTAGTAGTAGTAGTAGTAGTAGTAGTAGTAGTAGTAGTAGTAGTAGTAGTAGTAGTAGTAGTAGTAGTAGTAGTAGTAGTAGTAGTAGTAGTAGTAGTAGTAGTAGTAGTAGTAGTAGTAGTAGTAGTAGTAGTAGTAGTAGTAGTAGTAGTAGTAGTAGTAGTAGTAGTAGTAGTAGTAGTAGTAGTAGTAGTAGTAGTAGTAGTAGTAGTAGTAGTAGTAGTAGTAGTAGTAGTAGTAGTAGTAGTAGTAGTAGTAGTAGTAGTAGTAGTAGTAGTAGTAGTAGTAGTAGTAGTAGTAGTAGTAGTAGTAGTAGTAGTAGTAGTAGTAGTAGTAGTAGTAGTAGTAGTAGTAGTAGTAGTAGTAGTAGTAGTAGTAGTAGTAGTAGTAGTAGTAGTAGTAGTAGTAGTAGTAGTAGTAGTAGTAGTAGTAGTAGTAGTAGTAGTAGTAGTATAGTAGTAGTAGTAGTAAGTAGTAGTAGTATAGTAGTAGTAGAGTAGTAGTAGTAGTAGTAGTAGTAGTAGTAGTAGTAGTAGTAGTAGTAGTAGTAGTAGTAGTAGTAGTAGTAGTAGTAGTAGTAGTAGTAGTAGTAGTAGTAGTAGTAGTAGTAGTAGTAGTAGTAGTAGTAGTAGTAGTAGTAGTAGTAGTAGTAGTAGTAGTAGTAGTAGTAGTAGTAGTAGTAGTAGTAGTAGTAGTAGTAGTAGTAGTAGTAGTAGTAGTAGTAGTAGTAGTAGTAGTAGTAGTAGTAGTAGTAGTAGTAGTAGTAGTAGTAGTAGTAGTAGTAGTAGTAGTAGTAGTAGTAGTAGTAGTAGTAGTAGTAGTAGTAGTAGTAGTAGTAGTAGTAGTAGTAGTAGTAGTAGTAGTAGTAGTAGTAGTAGTAGTAGTAGTAGTAGTAGTAGTAGTAGTAGTAGTAGTAGTAGTAGTAGTAGTAGTAGTAGTAGTAGTAGTAGTAGTAGTAGTAGTAGTAGTAGTAGTAGTAGTAGTAGTAGTAGTAGTAGTAGTAGTAGTAGTAGTAGTAGTAGTAGTAGTAGTAGTAGTAGTAGTAGTAGTAGTAGTAGTAGTAGTAGTAGTAGTAGTAGTAGTAGTAGTAGTAGTAGTAGTAGTAGTAGTAGTAGTAGTAGTAGTAGTAGTAGTAGTAGTAGTAGTAGTAGTAGTAGTAGTAGTAGTAGTAGTAGTAGTAGTAGTAGTAGTAGTAGTAGTAGTAGTAGTAGTAGTAGTAGTAGTAGTAGTAGTAGTAGTAGTAGTAGTAGTAGTAGTAGTAGTAGTAGTAGTAGTAGTAGTAGTAGTAGTAGTAGTAGTAGTAGTAGTAGTAGTAGTAGTAGTAGTAGTAGTAGTAGTAGTAGTAGTAGTAGTAGTAGTAGTAGTAGTAGTAGTAGTAGTAGTAGTAGTAGTAGTAGTAGTAGTAGTAGTAGTAGTAGTAGTAGTAGTAGTAGTAGTAGTAGTAGTAGTAGTAGTAGTAGTAGTAGTAGTAGTAGTAGTAGTAGTAGTAGTAGTAGTAGTAGTAGTAGTAGTAGTAGTAGTTTTTTTAGTGGAACTCGTTGATTTTTTAGCACTTTGGTTTTAGCTGTTAATTAATGTATTTGAGCTCAGCTCTGCATAACTAATTTGTACAACCATGCAGCATTATGAAGCCCTAAAACCGTGCGTATCTGCGTGCACTGCATATGCGTACATTTGTTTTCTGAATTAATATTCCAATTTGCGTAATATTTCGGTAAATGAATATGTTAGATTTCAAGCTTGATTATTTTTTTCAGATAGCACACGGTGACAGTATCGTTTACTGAATGAAATAATCAATACATGTAGAACTTCACTAAAATGCGTAGTGAATGAAAAGTGGGAATAATTTTAGCTAACGCTAGAGTGGTTTATTGGTCTGGTATTCTGCTTTTAAACAGTGCATGATGATATGTCTTGACCTTCGTATATCACTTTAATAATGTGGTGGTGACTCCTAAGTGCATAAAATGATCATCAAAATACTACTACAGTCTTGATTGTATGTCTTTCTCGGCTCAACAGTACATGGATGACTGCATTTGTCAAGCAACTTCAATTACGACACTTAAGTGTTTGAGAACAAGCTGTGGTAAACGGAAACTGGAAGTTAAAACAACTTCATTAGTAAAAACAATACGTAAAACCGAATGTATTTGAAGCAGTAAAATTTGAACTGTAGAAGTGATGTAGCAATCAGTAATAGGGTAAGGGGATCGATCACTGATAATATGGGTCGAAGAGGTTTGTCTGGCTTGTGTATTTTGACTAGCCGATATAACTTTGGAATATGCGACCCAGTTGGTTTTATGTTTTGGAAAGTATTCTCGGCAGTATGCTTTGATTTTACAAGCTGTTTCAGAAGCTGCATTATTTGCATTTGGATAGAAGTTTGATTTTTGAGACTTCTATCAGCTTCGAACTTTGACTTATCAGACAGTATAGTGTACATCTTATTAACGTAGTCTTCTTTATTCATGAGTGTTACACATTCTCCTTCGTCGTTGCTTAGGATGACAATTTATTTGTTCTGAAGTAGTTCATTTAATGGTTTTCAGTGCTCCTTAGGGATGGGTAGTTGCTGATTGAAAGTTGGAGTTCGGAACTGGTAGGCGATATCAACCATCTTCGATTTAAACCAACTGTCAATTTCATTCGAGGTACCGTTAAGAGTACTGAGTTGGCCATATAGATTCTCACTGTGGTTCAATTTCAGTTTATCCTATTTCTCAGGGGGAACACAAAATTCAAACAGTTCAATAAATCCCTCTATAATCAAGCTTGTTGCTTGTTTTAAAATCTTATTGTTTCAGTTTTACGGAATTCCAGGGTCGGATCAGTTCGACCACGTCATTCGTCCTTACGCAGCAGTATACCTTGGTCGATGTACTGCATAGCAGGAGGAAATCTCATGAACACAGTCACAATCACTACGAAACTGATTTCAAGGTTATTCTTTACATCACGAAGTCTTGCATTTTCAGTCTATCTCATTTATTGTGATTGTAATTCACAGCTTCTGACTTTTGGTCGACTTAGATTTCCAAAATACTGAAAAGTATTGCAGGTGATTATGACTCAGCGTTGAAATTCGGTTGCACCAGTGATACAAAGTGAAAGTGAATCAGATTCAGCAGCTATGTAATGATTTCCTATTATCGATTTATGTTGAAAGAAAAATGAAAGGCGGTAAAGTGAAAAAACAGTAGTTATCCATGAACATCGGTGGAATTCAGTGTAAACTCAAACGAGCGAACTGAATACGCATCGATCAATATAGTGATCGCTCACAAACTGATTAACAGACCAATTTTACTCAGCTGCAGAAAAATCCCTGCAGGTCTACATAAAACTTAACTGCGACCACTCTGATCAGTACACTGCAGCAACTTTGGTACATAACGAATGAGGTGAGAAGCAATCGAACGAAGATGGATAGCGATGTAAGTAGCTATGCAGCTGACTTAAAAAGCCAATCAGTTTCAGTCTAGACTGTTGCCTACCCTACGTAACTTTATTCATATGCTTCTGAAAATATCTGATGTGCTGTTGAAACTGTTTTTGTTCAGCTGTATTTTATGTTGACAAACACAATTAGCTTCAACTTCTCAAATCTTGTTCTGTCGGTCTTCTGCTTTTTCTGCCGTCTTTATACATTTTGCTGACGTATGTCGATTAAAATAGCTCTGGTATACGACCGAACGAATATCCGTGCGCACATTTGGAACAACTAAATCGCACCCATGATTTGGCGAAAAAACAAACTACTCATTTCCCTCCGTTTCATCCTTTCCTTCTCCTTCTCTTCCTTCTCAACTCTCAGTATTTCAATAACACAAACAAGCACTCTGTATACAGCAAATTGTCAGCAGTGATTTACTCCCTTATAGTTAACAACTAAACTAAGCAAATACTGCCGGTTTCAACCACACGAAACGAAATTGGCTGTCGAAATATCCTTCTATCCATCATAACAGTATTATCACTCAAAGTAGTAAACTACAAGTGGGGGACAATGAACTCAATCTGTGGCTATAAATTAATCATGAACTGACATTTTCAGTATTGCAACTGGAAAACTGACGGTCTTCAGAATACAATCAGGAATTTCATTCCACCTTCTGGCCTCTAGTATTTCCTATAATCAAGATAATACTTATCATGACTACAAGTCAATCTCAGTGAACTACATTTCCATGACTGTGCAAGATATCTGCAATGTGATATGCGGAGTTGTTCTAGTCCCATACACACACACATGTACGACTGTGAGCTTTTTCATCAAACGGACTGGTAAAGATTTTCAATAGATACACTGTGAGTGAATCATCGAGATTGTAAAGTGCAGTCTGTCCGACTACAGTGATATTACTTTCTACCTAATTTCCAATTTTTCATCATATGGTGAGTAGTGCTGCAAACCAGTGAACAGACGATAGTAGTGATAAGAAGGATCAGTGAAATGCGGGTGACCAAAGAACTAGTCAGTGGTGAATGTCAGAAATGAAATGCGACGTACGATATCATGTGATAACACTCTTAGATGTTAGAAGTCAGTAAATCACGTGACCTGCATAGCTTAGCGGCACATTCTCTGAATTCAGGAGTGGGAAAGTCAACATCGAATAAATGAGGTATTGCGGCTCTCGTTGAACCGCAGACAAATTAGTACCAAAATATACTGCACTGCAGTACTACTTAGCCTAGTGAGCAGACTCCAAGTCTTGATCGATCAATGTTCGACTTCGGTGACGATTAGAAGACTAAACTGGGTACTTTTCAATTTATAGACACCAAACGAAGTTGGAATTTAATAGTTTCGAAGAGTTTGAGCATCTGGTATGTGATATTCGTTATTTTGGTATTTGTATTCCCCAATGAAAGTGTAAAACAAAATGAATCTTTTCCAACCGATGTTTTTCTATTTGATGCTAATAGCTTTATCAAAGTTATAGTAAACCGGAATTTACAATTTCCAAGCTAAATATGATAACTTGATATGGGTTATTTTGGACAGATGATTCTGCGTTGTCAGAACCGTACAACAAAGATGAAATCCATATGTAGTGTGTTGTATGTGAAGAGTGTATGAATTACACATTAAGAGTTGTAGGTTCACATGTTGGTGGTTCTTATAGCATATATGTTGCTTAGATGAGTATGTAGACGCGGGTTGAGGGTAGGTCAAACTACTTTTTATTCCCTCATCTCTATTTAGACAATTTTGATTCCAGTTTGTGTGAAAAGATTCTGCTTTGAAACGTTCTTTATAATTTCTAGTCTTTCTGCGTAATTTCGATACTGTCAAAATCTACCTTGTGACCTGAAATTATAGCCCTACAGGGCCATGGTTAAAGTGTTTTCAGGTTTTTCAGCCCCACTGGATTTCTCAGGAGTCGGGTGGAGGCTCTTCGATGTTCATTTCTTTTAAATTTGATTTCACGGGAAGTTTTTCCTATATATGTTGTATTGCAGTCTGAACATTTCATTTTATAAACACAATTAGATTATGAATCCAGAGGGATCTCGTCCTTTAATATGATGTTCCGTAGAACACTCTGATATTGGATTTGTCGAGCACTTTCCCAACTTTATCCGACGTATATGATCTGGACGGGATAATTAATGTTGAGGCACATGATTTAAAAGTACTCTTACGATGTAATCTCAGGTTGTTTCCTAGTTTACCAATGAATTTCACTGGACAATGATTCATTTTGAGTATTTTATTGGTTAACTCTTCCATTTTCATCAGTTGTAAGAGCGTGTGCTCCGCTTAAAAGACTGGAGACAACAGAAACTTTCGCACTAATTCGATGGGATGAGCTGAAATCAAAGTATTTGTTCGAATGCTCTGTTTCCCGAAAATGGTTATCCCTAAATTTCCATTTTCTTTTAGCTTAACAAGACAATCAAGAAAAGGCAGTTCCCCATTATCAGTTTCTTCTTCTGAGCTGAATTTGTTACTTGGTGATCTAGAATTCAAATGATCCAAAAATGTATGCGACAAGTCACGTTTTAAAATTATGAATATGTCATACTTCAGCCAAATTTTCGGATTTCGGAAGTGAACGAAGACACTTTCTTCTAATTTACTCATGGATAGGTCAGCTATTGTGGATGAGACAGGTGAGCCCATCGCAACACCGTTAGCTTGCCTGTACAGTTTTTCTTCCAGGTCAAATTTAACAGCCTTGATGATGTCACTGGTATTCAGTTGACATCAATCTGTCAATTTTGTGTCTGAGTTTAATAAATTAGAAATAACATCTAGACTGTAATTAATTGGAATACTAGCGTATAATGAATTGATGTCATAGCTTGCCGTAATTTCATCTTCATCAATCCTAATGAAAAAAAATTGGATTTATTGTCACATGCGTTCCTTTTTGTATATTCTGAGTTTTTTTTTTGTATGGGTCTTAGTTTTGAAGCCAGATATTTAGAGAGCTAGTGTGTTGATGCGTTGGTGAAGTCTACAGTTGGTCTCAGTGGAATGGAAGGATTTTGAATCTTGGATAAACGGTAGAATTTTGAAGGCATGTAAGATTCACGTTTGAGTGTGAATAAAACTGAGCTGCCAATTTCAGGCTTCATTTCTCTAAGTAGCCTATCAATGTTGAGTTTCATTTTGTTCAGCTCCAGGGATTTTTCCTTCTCATCAGTTAAGGAGTATGGTTCATCGGACAGGTAGTCACTTGTTTTCGTCTCATAACCTGTTCTGTTCACAATGATTGTTATATTTTCTTGATTTGCTTGTGTTATTACAATGTTCTTGTCTTTCCTTAAATTCTCCAGGGCTTGAAATTCTTGTCTAGTGATGTTAGAAGGTGTATTTCTTTGCTTCATCGTTAAATAGTAATTCCAAAGTTGGTTTGATGATTGATGTTATCTAACGAGTCAGTAATAACTTTCAGTTGGTGTTGAAACTGAGACCTTTGTGTAGAGATGAAATCTTAGTTTTACTGGTCACCGTTCAGTTACCAGATTCCTTAGTGACGATTCTAACCACAAATGATCTACTCTACAGACGGGTACACTTTTAATAGTCTATTTATCTATTTATATTTTTAGAGCAGATTTTGGAACGGACCGATATCGATTGAGAAACAAACAGGAATTAGGCAGTATCAAGATTTCCCTAGTGAAACCAAAGCTAGACCTATCACATCTCACCACCAGTTTACAACTCAAAAGCCTCGGTTTTCTATCATCTGTGATACCACAATGCAGAGCGATTATCATAAAACGGGATCAACGAGTACTACTCTCCTCACATATTTTCGCAACGCACCGAATCGGTGACGTGAGTAACTTTCGTTCCTATGTTCTCAACATTCAATGAATAGTATTGTGAAACATCTTGGTGTCAGCAGTTAGAAGACATACGATTACATAAGGGAAATGCTAAATTAGATCAATTGACCTGTTATTTACTTACATATACCAACTCAGGTGATTGATTTTAAGTTTGAAAACCACGGTGTGGAATCAGCAATCACTACATAAAATTTCTGTTCATCAAATTTAATCGTTGGCATACTGGTGTTGGAACAAGACTTATTGTTGCAAATTAAAACTTGGTGAAGATTGGGGATCATAATCTCTTATTTGAACGAATTTCAGTCCACCATGTTAAATACACACAGGAACGGTTACCAAAAAGTGTATGGTATGGCATCAAACTACTTAATCTGATCCTCTGCGGTGATTGTGGTTTCCCAGCCAGTTGAGGCATCATGAGTATGGTGGCATGGTGCTGAAGTACGCGGTACCACATGAAGTGTTTATAGGTTATTCGTGGCAGTGGATATATGTGCATAATGATATACTTACAGTTATTAGTAAAACTAGGATTTCTCAGGCATTTGAATGAGTGTCCTCCAGCACTGTGTTCAGATAGGTAACGGGCCCTCAACTGATCCATTCAGAAAACATTTCTCCTGACAACCACAATCGCGTATCACACTACTGAATAGTGATAATAAGCAAGGGGTCCTAATGCACCTTGTCATTTAGCGCAAACCAGTACAATAATTAACTTCAGCGCTTCCTAAAACTAGTAGACAGTTGAGACTAAAATTATCGACAATAAGAAAACAATCAAAGCAATCAATATCATCTTCATGATTATGTGTTTGATATTGACTTTGTATGCATAACTGAAATACAGATGTTGACTTACGAAATCAACTATACACTTGCTTTTTTCCGTCACACCTGAGCAATCTGTGCACATTTTTATTCAGATTCTCATCTGAACTGATTTGAAAATTGATCTGTGTGAAGTGCTTTTGTTGTCTGGATACACACATTAAATGAAATTTTTCTTAGCCGTTTTCTGCATTCAAAGACTTAGCTCTAAACTGATGTACTACAGTGAATTTAAAATACCGATTTCATTGCCTGGTTTTTCGTCCGATGGATAACCTTATGTTTTTGTTTACTTTAGCTAAGAAGTCATTCGTAGGGCAAGTATTTCCGGAAAAATTTCCATAGATCTTATATTCATTCAACTGTAGCAGCTAAAAAAGTTATGTAAATGAATTTCTGAAGAACATGTGTGTTTTTTCCATTAGAATGTAAAAGAAATCAAAACTGTAGTAAACCTAACAACTTATGGAGGGATGAACAGGAATACTCCAGATATTTTCTGAAAATTGAATGGCAATTAGACTAACGATTTGTCGAGCATATACACTAAGATCCACCATACTTCTGATTGCTAAAGCATTTTACGGAGGGTTTTTTGTCCAGCTATCAGGAGAATTCGTGATAATTAACTGCCTGTTTATTGTCCCACTCTAAACCAAGCCGTTTTGTAGTGCGTCACACAAATTTAAGATCTTGTCAGTAACTGGATTTTGTAGGTCAGCTGATAGAGAACTAGGTTGAAAATCAACGTCCCGTTACTTCGAATCTTGTCACCATCTAATTCTTCTTTATATCTTCAGTCTTTCCTAACTATCAATAGGATCAGTCTTCACAGCCTAGTCACCTTTGAGATTCTCAGTAATAATTCTTAATTTATGGGCACAATAGCTACCAATCAACAAACTTAGTTCTGAAAAAAAATTACGTGATAATACTAGAAAATTTTAGTCAAATGAGTTGTGATATCTGCAGGCTGAAAATTATTGAACAGGTTAAAAATCTTCACGTACTGTTTAGTTGGAACTTTGCTTTAACTAATGAATGAACTGAAAAGGATGTTAGAAAACGGAGCATGGTGAATATCATTTATTTCCCAAGCTTTGTTTAAAAATTATACTAAACTATATATATATGCTTAAAAGCAATCACATAAGATTTTTAAAACAAGCTATGGTTAAAATTGTTTCAATTTAGCTCTGCTTCCTTTATAATCACTCCAATGCTTTCATCGATTGAATTATACGTTTTTATCTTGTTCTGAACCGATATTATGAGATACAGAGAATTCTAGTGAAGAGCAGTAAATGAATTTTATTATTTTCAAACTATAAGCTTTCTCCAGATAAATATTTGTGTTAACTTCAGTCACACCCTAAAATGGAGCAGCACATCGTTTGTGATTGTTACGTTTCTGTAATTATCATATTTATTTCATCAAAACGCATTTACACCAGACAAAATAAGCATGTTAACACAAACAAATGCATAAAGAAGTACATGAGAAAGAGCTTTCCAAAAACTATGAAACTGTTTAACGTTACTTACTGCAAAGAAAGATGAAAGTTATTCAGAAAACATTTGATAAATGAAAGTGTCCAGGGTTATCCTTGTTACCATTTCTTCCCGATTGTGTAAAGGTAGATGATCAGCAAAGGCATAAGTAGAATTTGATAAGCTGAAGAATTTTTGGAGCTTTTATTGCAATAATTTTTATTACAACAAGTATAATTGAAATTCCCAAACATTTTTTCTATTAATTCGACATCACAAGAAACGCTACATGCTCTTGTTAAATTTGGTGAGTGGTTTACTTGAAGTGTCTGGTAATCCATAAAAAAGGGATGATCAAATAAGTATGCTCTAAGAGTAATAATTACTAAAAGGTTCAGATAAAAATTATTAAAAATCATGAGTATCTAACGTCGATTTTAATCTAATTTGTAACGCGTCAGAGACCTGAGCACAATGTGGTAACACGCACGTAATAGCTTCAAAGCTATCTAGTGGTCAGCAATGGCGAAATCTTTATCATACGACGTCAAATGCGCTCACTATTAAGCTGTTTGAAACTAGAGGGCACTGTCAATCCAGTGTTAGCTGATTTTATATACCCCATCAGCTCACATCTCTCCACATTCAATGAAGCGGTAGTTTTCCCTTCAAGATTGACTGATTCCATTTCCTTACACAAGCAGTCAACAGACCTATCTACTACAGCTCTTATGAGTCTTGTATGGAACTTTGGCTTGATTACTCTGTTAGATAAAATGACACATCAGTAAATTAATTTCCAGTGAGTGATACTGACTATCAACCCACTTAGATAAGGGATCATCGCTTGTGTAATGGATTCATTTTAAGTGATAACTTTTTCGATGATAAAAAAAGTGGTTCAAAAGCCTTAGATTACTTGGAAACTGATGCACGTCTGAAAATTCGTAACAATTTTCACTGATCTAACAAGATAAATGCAATTATTAAGGTGTGGAACCATGACAATTGGCAGTGGAATATCTTGAATTCTTCGATTCTGGACTGAATCCATTTCCCTTCATTTTCAGGTATTTATCGCTATCCCTATTCATTAAAACCAAACAAAGCATGTCTCATCACATGTTTAAATAAAATCACAGTGAGTGTTCAATGCAATGAGTCTGTTGAAAGGTTTCATTGTCCCTACAATCCGAATTTCACCCTCTAATTGCGCTGAATTAAAGAAAATAAGCATGTAGCTGATTTGAAAGCACTTGGTGATATAGTGCGTAGAAATCTATACCACAATTTAATAAAGCGATACAGTAGTTATTTAGAAGTGTTTATTGTAGTCAGGGCTTTATATCAGTGTAACCAGGGATACCGGAGATTCCAAAATTGATTTCAATGCGTGACACCATTACCATCAGACTAAAGGACTTGATTAAGGAATGCATCTTCGAGGATGCGACGAAATAAATGCATGATTAAGCCTTAACTTTCACTGATATATAAACAACTGATTTCTTGGCTGTGTTCCACGTAAGTGCGGAGTGGTTGTTCGTGCGCCTCACCTTCACACTTTCAAAATGTTCACTCTACTGTGGATCCCAGTAGATGCAGTTTGCACTGAGTACAAAAGATAGCTCCACGATGGTTATATCACCTCATTCATTCCAAATCAATAACTGTGCAATAAGAAAACACCTAACAAATTAGTTGATACATAATTTGTTTAGGAAATATACATATATATATAATCTCGTAAATTTCCTTATACAATTTACGCTTACTACACACCACTGGCAATTATTCTCAACTTTAATGCTTTCATCGTGGCGTGAGAATTTGACTGGACACGAAATGCACGTATAACAACTAAGTGAAAAAGCTGAAATTCAAAAGAATAGAATGTGATTACCATAATGTTAACTAGACATGAAAAAATAGATTAACACTTCTAATGAGTATAATAGTGACGGAAATGGTGATAAGTGTCTTACAATGGTAAATAACTTTTCTTATACTGTATTCAACTGAAATCAGTATGGATTCTGATGCCTGTTTTACCTATGAAGGCCTAAAGAGATCCTGATCAAGTTACATATTTTTTATCCCACTCCCAGTGATAATTCAAAACTTTGACATTTTGACTGTTATCAGTTGGTTTAAAATCGGTCCACTTACTGTGACAGATGCATCTCTGCGCTTTTTTATCAGTAGTCACACACCGTTTTGATAGTGTTGGGTTCTCTCGAAAACTCTTGAATTGCACAGTGGTTGTTAATTTGAGGGTAACCAATTTCATGTTGTCTAGCTTTAAGTGCTGATGGAATTCTGCCGATCATTTTGTAATATGACCACCAGACTAGGAGAATGAGCTTGGTGGTGCACTATGGTAGATGTTAGGTTTCCTGTTGATTGCTTCTATCCAACTAACACTCATACACTGTGTTTGACCCACAATTCAAGGCCAGTCTATTGAGAAGTACTAACATTTACACCTAAATAATTAACATTCACTGATAAAGTTAGGCTGAAAATCACTGTGAAAATAATTCATGACAGGAAGATTGTAAGAACGATTAGTTTCTCAGGTAGATGGTTCTTTGTGAAGTTGTTACGGCCTGCTGATTAGTTTGTGGAATTCTCTTTGTCTTTGTAGACGAGCTTACCGGCACAGAAGTCATTGAGACTTGGTGTTTTACCTATAAGTTACTGAACAGCTTTCCTTGATTACCTGGAATGTTGACAGTTATCTATGGCTGCACACATATTTTGATTGTCAGCTTCGTTCACGTGTTATGCGTCCTTACACTGTATTTAATTCTTCTTGTTAATTGACAAACTGGGTCTGTATCGATGTATTGGTGAATTCATTGCCTTAAAATTCATCCTATTTCTCGTACTCAGTGTTTCTTTATTTCCAATGCTTACCTAATGTCCACAGTTGTCTATTTGCATTGATATAACAGAAATTATGTTGCCATGCTACATCAGAAGCATTACTTCTTGGAGTCGCTCATTTCAGTTTCTTTTGCGAACTGGTCTTCTGTTTGTCCTCCTTAGAAATAATTTTTTTCCAGTCCACAGCCCTCGAAACATATTTGATTGAATCGATTCCAAACGATTGCAGTAGTCTTATGGTGATCTGCATCTATGGCAAGAAAAGGTTTTTTGTAGGGGCTGTAATTAAGAACAGCCATTCAGTAGTCTTGATCACCTCTGCATGAGGTAAGCTTACAGTTCCCACACATTTTGTTTGTGTAAGTGATTGTGTGCATCACTGAGCTACCCTTACAATGCTTAAGGATTCCGTTAGTATGTTTCGACTTTCTGTTCACTTTAGTCTCAAATTTCCTTGCATTTGTCCTTTTGATAGCAACCTTCAGAAATAGAAGTTCGTTACTTAACCTACCTCAATCCTTAATTCTTCCACATTAAAAAATCACTTCACAGAATCACAGATGCCTTCAGTTTCATCTTTTTTACTGAGAAAAAAACTGTTATCCGCATGGTGTATGACAAACATCGGTTTCATCACTGACAAAACGAGTGACAGCTTCAGGTTTCTACATTACCGTCTCCATAATTAATAAAGATGTTGGTCTCATTACACTATCAGACACTCAAAGCAGAGGAACAGCATTACTATAGATATTCTTTCACTTATCAATAATAATCTTTTTTATGCACCTGATAAAAAAGCTAAAATGAAATTATATTCTATCAGTGTCCAGTTTCCACCATTATGTTGATCCCAGCAGAATCTCTTTCATTGTCTGTAAACTTGACCAAAATGAATGGACCCCAGAGTTGGACACTGAAGGTTTATGTATTGAAAGTACTTTTTTAAGTGAGGAAGAAAAACGAACTATTCTGTACCAGTTTCCGTTAATTTCGTAAAAATAAAGCAGTGAAATCTAATCACAGCACTGACTCATCATCGCCTGCATGGACACCAGACTTCCTTTTCGAAAATCTTGTTGAGGATTTCATACGGCATTCTCAAATTTTGCTTGATTGACCTAATCTGAAATCTTTGTCATTATGAAAATACGCATAGGTAGTTGTGTCACATTTCTTTCGTTTACACATCAGAAAATCTTAGTCGAATTTACTTAACTAGATAACTTGACAGCTGTTGCTTGCCTTGACACGGATAGCCATACAGTTATTTATAATGTCCACTTAGTATGTAAGTTTTTATGGTCAAATTTGTTTGTCGCTCGGTAGTAAGTATATATTCTGGCTTTCTCCTTTGGTTCTTAGTGAAACGTCTTTATTTCAATCTCTAAAGCTGTACATCAGTTTTTCTTAAATCTAAGCGTTTCACTTCGCTATGCGCAGCTGACTCCTGACTCACTAAAGAGCTGTTCCGGAGTTTGTATCCAACGTTCATTGATGCAAGATGCTGGGAAAAACACTTGAAGACATGATAGCTGTTGTCAAAATGGTTTTTCTTCTCCGAAAAATTCCTACATTTTCGATCAGCGAGAAGGGTTTTACGCTTATAAGATTACAGTAATACATCCCAGTCAGCTGGATTGCAGATTTACTTCGGGAATAAAAAGTGGACACTTGATTCACAATTTATTACACAACAGTGAAGAAAGTCCCACCTAACTAAAAACAACAATTGTAATGTTTCATAGGTATCTCATCCATATATTTTTAAATCCATCTTGACTAAAATGTTTTTTGAAAAGATTTCGAAGTGAGTGTGATGGAACGCTACAAGTGAGTAAGAAGTGATTTTTATCACAACCAAATAAACAAAAGTTGTCAATAACAACATCAATACACTCATAATTAAGTGGTTCGTTTACAGTACAGTGGTCATTCCATAGCCTTTTCAAATTTGGTAAAAGGCGGCGATAATGGCTATCCATTACACTGGAAGTCCCCCCTACAATAAATGCTATATGTCAAGTTGTAATCTTCCTTCATAACACTGAACACTAAGAAGGAAACTTGCATACTTTCAACAGAATGTTGTGGAAACGATCTCTGTATTGTGGCTGAAAGCATGAAGTATTTAAGCAGCATATACTGGCACTAAAACTTGACATCAGATGGACAGATATGGCCAACATGAGATTTTTAAATACTGTTTACTGATCCACATTGTCAAATCTTATATTGGTACCTCATGATATAAATCAGTAAGAATGAATTTGCAAAGAGCTACAAAACTAAATAAAAGAAGATACTACCAACGATGGAATGTCTAATAACAATGAGTATGCGGACCCTGGTCGATCCTTATCTACAGTGTTAAGTATCTCTATGATTTTATTTGGCTGTCTGGATGAAACTAACCAGGAGGTTATTATATGAAGGTTGTTAAGCACACCAACTGCCTGACCCTTCTTACACAAAGCTGCTTACAACATCTGTGTATGTTTCATGTTGATCCCACAGTCGATACTATGAGGACGATCATAAACGAACATTTGCAGGTTCATGCAGTACATTAGACCATAAAAAGAAGTCAAGAGGAGCATCATATACTGAATCTGACAATCACTTCTACTATGTAATGTGCATATACGAATAAGACACATATATGATCGAACCTAAATCAGGTGCTTATCTTAATCACATTAATTTATACACGCATAAATCATAATCGTGAAATGATAATGTTAAAAACATGCATTACCGACTGTCTTAAACTTACCATTATCTGTCTTAATCATTATCAACAACATAACTAATAAGAGCTGCACGGAAGAACTCATAATATCAATGAATTTGCTGCCACATATGAGAGTTTTTAAAAAACGTTTTGTTCTTTGGCTCACATATATACATATTATGCTGCTAAATTTGATTCGTTAAATGTGTAAGCTTATTTAAGGTGCATCGCTGGCTGGAAGAGAAGATTGTGTAGTACATGTGATTGTTTAACTGAATCCAGGAGATGGATACACTCACCATACATAAACTGTTCATCAATTTAAATTGTGTTATATGCTTTTGCATTATTATTAACGAATGAACTTGTAGATTTTGAGTGTATTTTGACCATTACGTCAAAAAACAGGCTTGCATTATAGTTCTCAATAAAAAATATAGAGTACGTATTACAATTCCATATGCTGTTTTATTACACTAATGATTTTCACTGTCTTTTTATTCATTTATTGAGTTATATCACTTTCCTCATTATTTCTTCTTAGCCTCCAATATGCAAATCCTAATAAAATCATCAGACTCAATTTATCTGTAGTTGTTGTTTTATCAACATCTCATGTAACTTGATAAATCTATGGTAATTGAAGATCGATATTTGACAACAGCTCTTGCTTCATTTAAAGAATGTCAGTCAGTCAGTAAGTATCACCGTCAACACCTTTGAACATAAATTGACAACCAGTAAGTTTACAAACAAGCACAGTCATACAAATGCAGTCGGTCCTGACATGTTGTTTTCAACTTATATGTTTCATTTTATTTGTTTTGACAGATGCCTTTCATAAGTCGACTGAAGACGACATACTAAATAAGTTTAAACATATCATAAGTATTTTCACTTATTGATTGGACTATCTACAATGATATCAGTTGACAGATATTAGTACAAGACAGTAGTCATTGATATAAACTGACAAGAAAAAAAGAATTGCAGCAGGGTCTGAATTAGCGAATTCTATGTTACTTATCCTATACTTCTCAATCGAAGTTTCAAAACCGAATTCCATCCATCTTGTCCCCTCAGAATAATCATCGAGTTTTTTGTATTATTGTCATGTATAAATACTTAGTCTCATCACTTGGTGTCGAACAAAGCTTACACCAGACAGCTAGGATATTTTAGGTGTTTGTATTCAGCTCTTGTTGCTCATAAGAGACTAGTTAACATCAGTGACAATGTGGAGAATATAGTCATTTTTATCTCACTTTCACCTTGGATATAAGGTTTTGATGCATTTACCTCCACTTCCCTAACTTCTTGCTTCTTAATCATTTCTTTGATTGCCTTTGGTTTACTTTCTGTCCTTGTTCTTTTGAGAAGTGCTATAACTCCCGATAACTCATTGGTGAGGAAGTTTCATCTTTTGTTCGTCTTTGTGACTAGAATCCTCACAATTCGGATAGCCTTGCAGAGGGATTTATTCCCTAAGGGCTTATTGTGCAAGAGAAGGAATAAGCCTGAGTCTGCAAAAGGGGGATCACAATTCAACACATCGATGAAGATGGCTTACTCTACTAGGCTGAATACTTATTTGACAGCCTGCCCTCAAGGGGAACTTTGCATAAATGTAATAGTTGTTAGTGAACATATCATGCTCAACTAAACTTTGATTTGTTTTTCTCCTTTATACTATGGAATCGGAACTCGTCTCAGGTATTATGTTAAATAAATTTGTGCATGTATGTGTATATTTTTCAGTTAATGTACAAAATCAACTCATCTCCGTGTGTTCATTACCTTCGATCGAACTGAAAAATTATAGCTGAATGATTTTAGTCAAATCAAATTCCATTGTCTTTCAGATAAACATTTTGACTTACACCATCGTTTATTTGGAATGATTCAGCTTGACAGCTAACTCATTTATCACGCAAGACAATCAAACTCCCGTTCAATGCATAAGAGAAGGTATTTTATGACCCAGTGGAGGTTGACTATGCTGCTGGAGCCTTTGTAAGTCATGTTCTCCTCTAGTTGCCGAAATTTCGTTCATGTTAATGTACGCATCATCTTGGTGACTGAGTGAAACTTCCATTGAGAATCAAGAACGGTTAATAATGACTGTTGGAAATGAGTAAAGTGCTCTGTGAAGTAACTGCGTGACCGCATTTTCAATCTCACCACACAATAGAATAAAGTGAGGAAGAGTAAACACCAATAACGAAATTGTAATTTGCCATGATAAGTGTGGAATATGTGAACAAAACACATAAAAATCACTAAATGATGATTCCATTCGTCGAAATCTTTCTAGTCATTCACTGCATGGGTGGGATAGATTCAAGCTAAATTTTCATGAAGTTTGTTATCATATTAACTTATTTCTCTTTTTGTATGATATAATTTAACTGAACACGATGTTTACCTGACTGTCACTTAGTTATGAAGCTATTGTTGAGGATCTCAACGGACCCAGTAATGAAACACCCACGACAAAATATCAAAGTCAGGGGATATCAACCCACCATTTCTCTCATACTCAGTTAATAGTCTTTTTCACCATTTCAAAAGACTGTGACCAATATTTTCCTTTCTCAAAGTCTTACCGTTTTAATTATTCTGTATGTTTACGTGAAAGTCACGTATTGGGTAAAATTGTGCGTCAGACCTATTATATCTCAATCTCGCTATTGACAATCCCTATCACTTTTCAAATGCATCATGTCTAAAATGCTGCTGCCACAATTACCCTGCAAAAAGTTGAAGCTGGCGTGCTTTGTTGTCGATGTCCGATTCAATAGTGAATTACAATTCCAACTACTTATGTGATCATGAATAAATATTTTGTTTAAAATACGACAAAAACCGGAAATCTGGTCGTTTTCTGAAAATATTCATTTAAGTTGAATCATTGGAAAATGGACGTAGAAACTGACTGTCAAGGGTACTCAATGCGATAAAAGGCAATGATTGAAAGCTTCTGGGCCAGAGGAAAAAGAATTACTGTATACTATATGATTTCACTCCTTACAATCGTTTGAACTCTGGACATTTTATTATTCCTCCTTTCTTCATCGCTACTTATCTCATATCGTTTTGGACAGTATTACTAGTATTCTTTTATTATTTATTTCGTCTGTCTCTACTGTCACAAGTCTAATCAAATCAAGTCACCTATTCGAACATTGATACTAGTCTGTATATTTATTTCCTAATTGAATTCAGATTAGTTTTCTTCAGTAAGTATTCATCGGTTTGCTGCTTACCTGATAAGCGGTATCAGATATTGGCAGAAGTGAATGTGAAACGTTTGCACAGAAATTTACTTTAGTAGCTACTTTTCCATGTTAAATCGTATGGTTTATAACTACATAAAGGAAAATAGATGAGTAAACGTGAGCAGAATCATTATTTCAAGGAATAAACTCATTTCGGTAACTCTGTTCACGAAACTCTACAATCTCAAATGCATACAATTCTCCTATGAAGATCTTTAGTATGTGTTGATAGTTCCGGTAGTTTGTTGAGCATGGAAAGAGGTAAAATAAAATACCAGTATTGTAAATTCCTTGATCTCGCGTAAAATTACAAACTCTTATCTAGACAATTATTATACTCACTATCCTTTTCAAAAACAGTTAGCAGTGGTAGTAGTATATTCAACGTAATCTACACTCTTCCATTTATTCTGATTACTTCATAGTATGTTTACTCTCTTCAAAGATATTTTATGACTGGAGAAATGATGAAAGGACCAAAGAAGTCCGATTAACTCAGATTATTCTGCTCTTATGACTGTTCTCGCTCTGCTGAAAATATCTATTTCATTGGCTCTAGAGCTGTTAAAATGAAAAGTAATCTTCTAAGTGGAAAAACCCTCAATTTGTAGTTTGTTTGCTGGTATCGAGCAGTTGAATCTAGGACAGGAATGTCGTCCTACTTGGAACCCGTTAGTTGGGTGTTCCTCCACGCCAGTGGGTGTTGTTTTCCTCGAACCTAGTATTCATCGATTCAGTAGTCAAAGCGTTGTTAACTGGACCACTGGAACTTTTCCGATTACTATACATTTAGAAAGAAACAGCCATATGGTGCTTAAAATTCCATTACAGTTACTTGAATCATCCTCATATGAGCCTTAGACAACGAAATAGAAACTGTCTGGTGTGGTTATTCATTACGAATTCACTTCTTATTACTGGATTAAACCAGTAACAATACTTTCGAAAAGAAGACATGGTTACTCGCCATGTGTGTGTCACTGAAAAATGGAAGGCTATAGGTTCAATGTTTTCCTTATTCAGATATGTGCTTCGGTTAGCCGTCTTGACGAAGAACAAAACAGATATTCAGTGCCACTGAACTTTTCATATTTTTCTAGTTGACTTCACTTCCGGAAAAAATCTCATGCCTTGATTTCCACTGGTAGTCACTGTCATAAGATATAAGCCCAAGCTGAGACCGTTACATCGGTCGAAGGAAGGAAAATGTGAATGTAATATGGTGATAATAATAATAATAATAATAATAATAATAATAATAATAATACCGATCAACCAGTTAAATTGTTTTATTTATGTTAAAAGACTTTTTTTTATGAATCAGTTTATTATCACTATTTGTTTTATAGCTCATTTCAGTAGCTATTTATTCTTTCCTCTGTCATCTCCGCACAAATCTTGCTGCTGAAATAAATACATGTTAAGTGGAATCACAATTTTCCTCCATCGGATCACTTCTTTCATTTCCAGCAATCATGCCGCTTCGTGGACCTATTATTCACTTGCATAAATACTTAACTTCTGCAACAAATCAAGGATGGTCGTTAAAATCAGACTTTGTTTTGTGTTGTACGGAGTCTGGAAGAGAATAAATCGTGTGACCAATTAAGTTGGTAAAATCTTGTATACTAAACGAGGCAGGGTTAATCGTATGCAAAGTTAGCATTAGAAGCAAGCGAATAAGTGAAATACGTGGTTCACAGCATTTTCAGACTGCAGTTATGATTGAGGCTAACATGAGTTTGAAGGCCACAACACACTATCCTTTCGATTCAGTTGACTATAAAGAAGACTCTGAATGTAGGAAATAAGAGTAAATTTGAGTACTATTAGAGAATGTAATTCTGTTCTAGTTTTCTTAATATGGTATGCTACAAACTAATATAATTTCATTCACTAGCTTCTAAACTGTCACTACCTATAGGAAGAAAATCAGTAACTTCAAAAAGAATTCTCAACAAGACTAGTATTCAGATGTCATTCAAGCTTACAAATTAATCACAGATAAACTTCATCCGATATTGAAAATTTTGTGATTAACTAGATACGATGAACAAATTTAAAACGGACGCTTTCAATGTGTTACTTATAAACTTCACATCACTGGATTCAAACAAAAGTTAGCTACTTAAAATCCCTGTACAAATTCAGTTTCTAAACATCATCATTTTTGGCTATCCATGTAATGTATACTTCATTATTAGAAAGCAATATTTAAACCACACTTTTTTGTTCACATAAAAAGTGTATTATCACTTTCCTAGTTGTAGGTTTCAAAGTTCTTCTTCGTATCAAGATGTTTTTCCATACCAAAGCTTTGGTTTTCTGGTCTTTCTTTCATTGTTTGACAAACAGTGGATTATCAACATTAGGAGCATTAAGTATGCATGCAGATATGGTTGATGCACATAATTATATCAGTCAGGTTAGTGACCATCACTACTAAAAGTGCACAAAATCACATACTGTAAATTTTAATAACCCACAACAATGCATACATTTACACCTTCAGTAATCAGTACTATATGCGTAGTGTCAGTATGTCCACTGA